CAGCTTTACAAAAAAAAAAAAAAAAAAAAAATCCAATCATTCTGAAGCCAGCTTGAGTGGGCTTTAGCTCAAAAAAAAAAAAAAAAAATAAGAGGTGGAGGACAGTGTGGTATGTGAGGATAGAACATATTGTCCAAACCAGGGACCTTTTAAAAGAAAAGAGGGTGCTAGTAATTATGCCAGGACAACAGGTGTAAATAAACCAGGACTGTTGCAGGCAACAGGCTCTATGGTCATCCTTGGGTTGGGAAAAGTGATTTAGGACACCCAGCTTGCATGCCTAACCCTACCCCTACCTCTCCATCTGGCCTTCAATTATCTGCATTTCCAGCGGCACATTAATATAAAGGCAATTTGGTACCCACCGCCATCTATTTTAAAACTGATGTGGGCTCAGTTTCCTTGACTATAAAATAACAGATTCAGTGATGCTTCAGGTTTTCTCTTATTCTAAGGTTCTAAGTCTTCATAACCCTGAAAAGAGGCAATTTGGGGGGATGAGGTAGATAGGCAAGAAGGAGTCTTTTAAGATTATATATAGTTGAGCGCTGTGAGTTGTGTAAGACTGTTGAATCACAGACCTGTACCTCTGAAACAAGTAATACATTATATGTTTAAAAAAAAAAAAGAAGACGACAGCAGGAAGGGAAAAATGAAGGGGGGGAATCGGAGGGGGAGATGAACCATGAGAGACGCTGGACTCTGAGAAACAAAGGGGGGGTTCTAGAGGGGAGGGGGGTGGGGGATGGGTTAGCCTGGTGATGGGTACTAAAGAGGGCACGTTGTGCGTGGAGCACTGGGTGTTAAACACGAACAATGAATCATGGAACACTACATCACAAACTAATGATGTATGGTGATTAACATAACATAATAAAATAAAAGATTACATATAGTTGATCATCTTTACATAAACATACATGAAGATGTTGAACTAATTCTACTTTAAAAAAGAAGACCCCCCACATATTCACCATTAATGTTATTTGGTTAAATTATCAATGACTCTGTCTTATTTCTTGAGGCCTCAGCAGAATAGCTCCAAAGTTCTATGACTCCCAGAAGAGGCCGGCTGTTCCTGCGTGCCCAGAGTCTCAGCTCCTGGCCCAGGATAAGTATATTTGTCCCGTTCACCTTGTCCCTGACACCTCATGCTATCACCCTTCTTTGGCCTGTGATTAGGAAGCAAAACACGTGAACAGTCTCTTTCCTTCTACTGGTTCCCTTGCCAGCCCTTTTCTTTTTAGCTAGCCCGGACTCTGGCTGGCTCTGCATTCCCATTTCTGGGAGATGTTCAAACTGTCGGTGAGTCCAGGGGCAAATTTAATATTCTGAGCTGCAAAGCTGCTCTTGAACAAAGCTCACATGCCTGTATCACAGAGGCTCAGAAGTTTGGAAGGAGAAGGAAACTTATCTACTACATAAGCTTCAGCTCACAGATGACAAAATAATAGCCACAAACAATAACAACTGTTAATATCTGGGCATCTTGCAAGGTGTTGTGCTAGATGTTCTACGTCAATCCTTTCATGTCATTCTTGGAACAACCCTAAGGCAGGTATTCTTATCACTCCCATTTTCAAAGTGAGAAACCTGAGCCTTTGAGGGGTTCAATATTTGCTACTTGGCTTGCTCAACTTAATCCAAAGATTTGCTAGTGACAGAAAAAAAAAGAATTTTCAAAATTTCAATTTTGAGGTCTGCTGATTCCTAGAACACTGTTCTTCCAACTCAAATGACCAAAACTGAGGCAACAGGCATTTACTGTGTACCTACCTTGGACCAGGCACTGTGCTAGATGCCAGGACAATTAGTGGCCTTACCAAGGGAGACAGAACATAAAATTCTGCCCTTCCAGGCTCTGGGGAGGAAACAGAGATTGAATGGTTTCTGCAGAGCTCTGTCTTCAGGGCAGTCAAAATGCTTCAGGGATGCCTGAGTGGCTCAGTTGGTTGAGCCTCTGACTCTTGATTTTGGCTCAGGTCATGATCTCAGGGTCCTGAGATCGAGCCTGGTGTCTGGCTCAGTGCTCTGCATGGTGTCTGCTTCTCCCTCTTCCTCTGCCCCTCCCTTCTGTCTTTCAAATAAATAAATAAATAAAATCTTAAAAAAAAAAACAAAAAAAGCCAAAACGAACACTTGCTCAGAATATCCCCCAAGAAGAAAAAAAAAAAAAACAAAGAGGGAGACATTACTATGCCTGTTTTGCAATTGAGAAAATTGAAGCAGAACAAATTGTAGGGCTTGCCCAATACAAGGTGGTAACCAGTGAGGCCAAGAATGGAAACAAACTGTCTTGGTTCCTTCCACTCCATTCACTGGGCAAAATGTAAATCTCCCTTTAATCTTAAAATCTTCCCTGCAAATTATCCTAATAGAAATTGTTACCATGCTTCTCACAATTAGCCAAACCTACTCATTTGAATGGCATCCCTTTCCTCTCTTCTCTTTTTTTGATATAGACAAGCCAGGGCATGGATAATCTTCAAATGGAAAAAAACCTTATTTTTTTGGAGTATCAGAGTGGATTTCATCACAACTATACTAAGGAAAAAAAATAAAGGAATTGTTTTGTGATGACACCTCTGGACATGATGGAGGCAGCCATGACTGATCAGCTATCCCCTGCCTGATACTGTGCTGGGTGCTTTACACAGGTTAGCTCACTCAGTCTCCCAACGGCACACACAGAGACAGGTCCTGGGTTCGTGGGAAGCTTATACATTGTGAGGAGACCCTTCCTAAGAAAAAGAAAATTTTGGCTACAGAATTAGGTACAGTGTGTTGGAAGGGCCTGTGCAAATGACCTGAAGCGTAAGTTTTGTGTGCTTCCCAGTAAATGCACCGCTGTGCCTAAGATAGCTAACGTCCTCATTTTCCCAAGTAATAAAACTGAGGCTCAGAGAAGTTAAATAACTTGCCCAGAATCAAAAAGCTTGCAAATGGTAAGGTCGGGATTTGAACACAGGGCGTCTGACTTCAAATCTCATGTACTTTGTACTCACGTGGCTTCTAACAAAAACAAAACTTCTTTACAAAGCACTAACTATATCCCATGAAAATTACCCATTTTCCCTAATAATTCTTATAACCTCTCTATTCTCCTGAGTTGTTATTATTCCCATTTACAGATGGGGAAGCCCCGAAACAAGGAAGGTTAAGCACCTGGTCCAAGGTCACCCAGCTAGTACATGGTGGAGCCAGGATTCATGTGGAGGTCTGTGGACCGCAGAGTCCTTACTTACTCTGTCCCACTAGCCCATGCTACCACACTACAGGTTACCCAGGAGAGGGGAATGGTAATGATGGTAATGCATGACCTCTGGCTCACTTACAATATTCCTGTCTGCTGAAACTAGCCCTGTCATCTAATTTCATATGCCATGCTGTTCAGTGTTCTGTAATAGGGTGGGGCAATTCTGAAAATTCACGTCCCCTGTACTATGATTTATTAGTCTGATCAGAGTGCATTCCTCACAGAGAAGACCACATAAAAAAGCCAATCATCAAATATCAGTGCAAACTCAAGGCCCAGGCAAGCTGCCTTACAGCCACCTCCCTACCTGCCCATGAAATGGAGACCCACAGAGCATCTGAGGGCTGGTAATATCTGAGGCACCAGGGAGACCACTCATCTCATGGGGCTCTCCGGAAACAGCCTTTTAAAACCACGCAAGAAGATTCACATACTGACTATAATTGGATTGCTTAACTCTGGTCATCCAAGCAAGAGTTTATATCCTTAAACAATCTTGCCATGGATTTGCAGGTGGCCAGAAATAGAGAAGATTATATTTGGTTTTTTCCTTGAACACGGATGCTCAGGGAAAACAGTGGTCTTTGAGAAGCTCAGACAGTGAGCTTCATCCTCCCACAGTAACGTGAACTTTAAAATTAAATTATGCTTTACCATGACTTTTTTTTTTTAATTTGCCTTGAACTGCCAGATTTCAAGTAATTGATGGCTTTTGGCAACCTCTATTAAAGGAATATGTCTCTTGCCACCTGAATGAGACAACTTGACTAACTGGGAGTTCGGTGATCAAACTGGCTTTTTAATCCAGGCAACAGCAAGTGCAAACCATGGGGCTATGGGTGCTAACAAGAAAGGCTGCTCCAATGATTTTTTTTTTTTTTTAAAAGAAAAAGTGATCCCAGTAACTCTCTCTTGTTCCTCTTTCCACACAGATTGGTGGATGTGGGTGAAAGGCAGAAGGAATGAGCACTGGGAAAGTCAAATGACTCAGAAGTCTTCTGAAATGACCAGCTCTCCAACCAGCTCTCATCTAGGGTAAGAGACAGGTTCAGATTCTTTCAAGAATCTAAATGCATCCTTGCCTGAAGCTTATGGTTATTTAAGAAGAGCACGAATACATGGTGAGACAAAGCAACCCAGACTGTTGGTATGAGATACCACATGTTTAGTCGGAGGGAAACCAGCACAGACTTTGATGGACTGAAATGTCACCCAGCCCAGAGGCCTGGCCTCCCTACCAACAGCCCTGCCCAGTCCAGGAAGACAAGAACACAATAGACCGCACAGCCGCTTCGCATCCCCTGCCCCACACCACTTCAAAGGCCACAGCAAGCAGCCAACAAACCTGCCTAGGCTTGGTGTTTTTCGTTTAGTTTTGTTTTTTCATGAAGTGGGAGGGAAATATGTTTGCGCCGAAGACAGACTGGGGCGTAGGGAGGGCGTACAGGGGGACACAAATGATAGAATGTAAGTGAAAGCCTTTCTAAAAAGTCTAGATCCACAGTTTGATCTTACTCCTCTCCATCATTAACCCTTACCTATATACCCCGACAAGACAACTAAGAAAGGAGGGCTGTATCCGGAGGGTCTGCCAGGGTGCAGAGATTCCATGTACGAGGTTCAGCATCGGGGGGTGGCCTGGAAGTGTCCCCCGCCCAACACGGGAGCGCGCACACCAGCCCGCCCGCATGCACACACACACACACACACACACACACACACACAGCCCGCCCGCCCGCTTCACCTTTTGGATCGTCTGGTCCACGGCCTTCTGGAAGACCCGGGCCACCAACAGCGTGACGCTGGTCACCAGCAGGAGCAGGGACAACGTCCCGACCGTGTAGAAGCAGCACCTGCCCATTCTGCGCGCAGCTCCCGGGCCGGGCCCCGCGGGCCGGCGCCGGCGCAGGAAGAAAGGGAGCGGCCGCTGCCGCTGCAGCGGCCTGAACACCCGCGACCCTGCGGCGCCCGCAGCTCCCGGCTCCGCGGCTGGGCTCCCGGCTCCCGTGCACCTGGCTGGCCGCCGGGAAGGGGAACGACCCGCTTCGCTTTCGCTTTCCCGAGCTCGGGCAGTCGGGCGCCCGCCCCGCGCAGTCGGGAGGGACAGAGGGAGCGCGCAGGGCGGTGACGCTCGCCGGCCCAGCTCGCCGCAGCCCCGGGAGGCGACGGCCAGCAAGCAGCTGCGCGGGGAAGCGGGCGGGGCGGAGGCTGAGCCCGCAGTCATGTGCCCCGCGGCCGCCGCCGCGATTCGGCCCTCGCCAGCCGCGCGCGTCCCGGGCGGTCACCCGGCCCCTGCGGCTCCCCGACCGCGGCCCGGCCCAGCTGCGCCCCCGCCTCCTCGGCGCGGACCCCGGTCACCCCGGAAAATCGCCTGTGCTCCCCGGCCAATTCACTCACCCGCTCAGCAGGGGTGAACTGCGGGCCTCCCGAGTGCCAGGCACTGGGGATTCGGGGTGGATACCACCTTGCCCCTCCCCCCCCCCGCTCTAGACTAGCTCCCCGGTTAGCAGGGACACTGTTACAGCAATTACTGCACAATGTTACAGGTGCTTTTATGAGGTGCATGCTGAGATCTGTGCCCACAGGTGTATTCTGTACGCGTAACCTAAGACCCCACAATTGAACTGGATCTTGGAGGATTGGTAAGGGTTCGTCATGTAAGGGGTGTGTACAAGGGAGGGAGGCATTTCAAGGGGAGGGAAAAATGTGCTAAGACATTGGGGATGAAAGAGTAAGATCGAAAGAGGAAAGGAGGAAGTTCCTTTTGCTTCTAGGCTCAGGTGTGCAGACTATAGGGTGGGGGTGGTGTGGAGGTCCCTTGGGGTCAGGCTTTGAAAGGCTCTTTGTGTCCCATAAAAGAGTTGGGACTTTATCCCTCAGCAGTGAGACTCAGGAAGAAGCGTCAAGCAGGTGGCCATGACGTTGTTCCTGTTTGCTTTGCTCACCATTATGTCCCAGGCAAACAGGCTAAAGCCTGCACACAGCAGGGACTTGGTATTAGTTGAATGAATGTCAACCATAGGCCAGCCTTTGGTTAGGTGCTTACACACACCCATTTATTTAACAGCAACCTTGTGACTTGGTGGCTGTTTGTCCCATTCCCCCCGCCCCCCAAATGCAGTGTCAGACAGGAACATTCTGCAAGAGACTGATGAGGGAACATTCACAGGAAGCTGGACCTGGGATGCAGGTGTGAGCTATGTGGAGAAGCAAGGAAGGACCGTTGTATGGAAGGAAGCTTCTTACACTACAGTGCAGCTCTAAGAAAGTTCAGCAAGGCTGTGGGGGATCCTCAAGCCACACTGGCCTGTCCCAGGAGTCCAGCACCTCCCAGGAATAGACCTCTTGTACTTAGTCATGGGCTGCGAGGAGCCGCGGCAAGACGGCCTCTGCACCAAGCTGGCGATGAGTATCAGAGGAGAGATTTCCGATCTCAGTCTCTGGGACAGATCCCCTGGTCAGTTATGCTCTGCACTGGAAGATCTGAGACGTACATTTTCTTGGTCGCTATAATGGTATTCTTCCTGTCTGACAAGAGGAAACCGTGGCTCTGAAAGGTATGTAACCCTAACAAGCTCAACCAGTTGCTGAATGGTGGATCCTTGCCTAGACAGGAATGCAGGCTGGTGTCCTCCAAAGCCCCTGCTTTTTCTACCCTGTGCATTGCTGCCTCCCAGCTGTCGTCAATGAGAATCTGCAGACAGGCAGTTCAGCGGGGAGACTTTAAACTAAGGACTCAGTGAGATGCATTTAAAATGGTGGCAGATTCTTTGATACTCCTTCTATCGAGAAGTGGGGTCTGTACCTTTTATCTTTGAATTTGGGCTGGATTTAGTGATTTGTTAAACCAGTAGAGTATGGTAGAAGTCACGTATCCTGGAACTTCTGAAGTCAGATCATAAACGCCTTGCAATTTCTTTCTGCCTGGGGCATCTGGAAATTGTTGCTCTTGGAGCCCTGAGCCACCTTTAGGTCTAGCTACCCTGAGACCTCTGTGCTGGAGAGAAACCGGAGAGACCATAGGGAGATGGCCTGAGCCTGCAGGAAGAGAGATGCACTGCCAGCCCTTTGCTGTTCCCAGCCATTTGAGTCATGGGCCCCAGACATATGGAGCAGAGTGGTCCTGAACTTGGGACATTGACAGTGACAATGGTGCCCACTCCCAGCTCTACCGAGCAGTAGCCCCGAAGCAGGCTGGAGGGGGGAGGTCTGGAATGATTCAACTCTTCCAAGCCTCATGTCCACAGTGCCTGGGTGGTCCCCAGTCTTCATGTCCCCACTATCAGCAGCCTTTCCCTACCCCTACTCCTGCCATGGTAATGCTCTATTCTGCCCCCATCTCTGCTTTAGATTCCAGCTATCTCCCTTAGCTCTCCCTGTGCCCCCACTTTGCTTAAGGGACCATGCTAGCCCACTAACCCTTGCTTGTCCCCTGCCTGGGCAATGGTTGGGGTCCTCTGCAGCCTGTGTGTGTCCTCTCCCTCATTAACTAGAAAAAAGATTTGGTAACCTTCCTTCCTGAGTGTGTGGCTCCCAGCAGTTCATGCTCAAGTGGAACCCTTCCTCCCCCATACCCCAGACTAGATTTTCTGTTTGCTAGCCCAATCTTGAGTGCAAACTCCACAGCTAACACCCTAGGTGGCCCTAGGCCACCAATCACGGGGCAGTCTTCCTTCTCATTGTTCACTGAGATCCCTTTTTGCCTCTTGTCTGGTCCATTAGGGCAGTAACAGACCGTGCTGATGGAGCGATGGGCCCAGATTTGAGAAATGCATCTCGGTGTGGGGAGGAATCCTGAACAAGGGTTTCCAACTCCGTTGCCCTCAGTTTACCTTCCCTTTGAGGCTCTCTCAGTCAGGCAACACCACTCCCTTGTTTCCACTATGTCAGGCGGTTGGTAAGCTGCTTCCCCTTTAAAACTCTCGTCCAAGCTGGACAAAAACCTCTCTCTTGGTTCCTCTTAGCACAGCTGACCAGACTAGCATTTAAAAAATGCACTAAACACTAACAAAAGGACCTAATTACAGACAATATAAACAGCTTAAAAACAAAGAACCCACGTTCCCCAAATAGCAGTCTGTAATCCCACAGTAATTTCTGTCATATCATAAAGAGCTGACACAGCTTTTTAGCACCTGGCCTGGCTGGCTTTCGGTTCAGTTCTGTCTTTTTCTCCACCCCATGGCAGCTCCAGATAGGGACTATGCCTCAAGCCCCCACATTCTCCTACAAGCTTCCCAAAGCCCCTTGGAGCATCCTCCTTATTTCTGATCTATATGACGTGTCACCGCCACTGCTAATTGGCATTATTAAATCTTTTTTGGTGCTCTAGAATCATTTCACTCTACAGGTGAGACTCAACTCTACATATAGGGAGTGGTGGCTACATGGCAGGTACACAGACTAATAACCCCCAGATAATCACTCTCTTCAGGGTCAGACGGTGTGGGAGGAGATTACTGCAGCTACTGGTGAGATGCGGAGGCTGATGCCCTGGCAGGGAGACAAGCAGGAATTTTCCCAGTGATCTTTCTATACCTAAAATCAGAAGAACAGGAATTTGAGAAGAACAAGCGCCCTTGTGAATGAATGACTATAGGTGCCTGCTGCAAAACTCAGTCATTCAGGACTCAGAAAGAGAACAAACTTCCTTCACAAACTCTTGAGAAAGGCTCCAGGACAATAGACTCTGAGACAGGAGAAGCAAGAAGGGCTCCTAGGGCCCCACCTGAAATCTAGAATATTGATATCTTCAACGGAGGTTATTGGATAATCATTGTGTACTTTTATGTTAAAAGTATTAATGTGTTAAATGTAGACATTTATTTTTTTTAAAGATTTTATTTATTTACCTGAGAGAGAGAGAGTATGAGCAGGGCACAGGCACAGAGGCAGAGGGAGAAGCAGACTCCTCGTTGAGCAGGGAGCCCGATGCGGGGCTCGATCCCAGGACTCTGAGATCATGACCTGAGCCGCAGGCAGACGCTTAACGACTGAGCCACCCAGGAACCCAAGTGTAAACATTTAAAGTACACCACAATTTTTACAGGTAGGGTAGACAACTTCCAAACGTGACTGTGAACAACTCTTTCTTTGTAGCCTCCTGTTGCTCCTGGAATCCAAGGTGGAGTTTATTCTCCATCCCTTAAATCCAGGATGGCCTTGTGACCTGCTTTGACGAGTAGAATGTGATGGAACTGACGATAGTGTGCCAATTCCCAGTCTAGGCCTTAAAGGGCCTGGCAGCCCCTTCCTTTACCTTCTTGCAGTCCATCACCCATGGTAGAAGCTCGGGTTAGACCCCTGGGCGATGAGAGGCCACGTGGAAAGAGACTCTGGAGAATGAGAGACCATCAGACATGTCATAGCCCATCTAAACCCCTATATGCTACATGGAATAGAGGTGACGAGCTGTCCCCGCAGAGCCCTACCCAAACTGCAGCTTTGTGAGCACATGAATGGCTGTGTGGTAAGCTACTCAGTTTGGGGGTAGTTGGCTAGGCCATGATAGACAACTGAAACACCATTTTTTGTTATTAATTATTTTAATATTCCAGGAGCCTAAAAAAGAATGGAAGTGGCCCTAGGCCTTCGTTACTTTGTGATAGGCCTGGCTCCAAGAGCTCTCTAAAGTTCTTGGCTTTCTTCCTACTCTTTGAAGGCAATCTATAAAATGCACCAACATGCCCTAGTGATTTGATTTTTGTTATGTCTAAGTGTTTGTGGAGTGTCCTTAACCCTGAGCAATTCAGGATGCATAAGAAAAAATTTCTGGCTCCATCGTTCTGATCTTACCGGTCAACCCAAACTTCTAATATTTACAGAATTCCTTTATGAGACAAGTGACAGCCCCCTGGACTAGAGCTTCTTTATCCCTTGTGTGTCATACTCGGAGCATGGCAGAGCAGAAGGAATCTGGGCCGGTCGGCTACCTCTTCCAGCCAGGAAACCCTGTGGCTT